GAGAAACATCGATGTGAGAGAGAGAGATTGATTGGTTGCCTCCCTAGGCGCCCCAATCAGATCTGGGGATTGAACCTGCAACCCAGGTACATGCCCTTGACCGAGAATCAAACTCATGACCCTTTCTTTGGTGCACAGGCCGACATTCTAACCACTGAGCCACACCAGCCAGGGCAGGTTCTTCATAATTTCTGGGCCATCAATGGATGGCACACCTTCTCCTCTCCCAATGTGATAATCTAGATTTAAGTATCTTTCTATCTCTGGGCATTTGAGCAGAAGGAAGAGGCAGACACATGTGCCTAGATTACCATTTTGGTCAAATGTCTTTACAGTCATCTTGATAGAAGAGCCCGTACAACCTTGAATCTTTTATATATTTGAAGGAGACAAACCACACAAGTGTGAGTTCTGTGACAAGTGCTTCAGCCGCAAGGACAACCTGACCATGCACATGCGGTGCCACACCAGCGTGAAGCCCCACAAGTGTCACCTGTGTGACTACGCAGCTGTGGACAGCAGCAGCCTCAAAAAGCACCTGCGGATCCACTCCGACGAGCGGCCGTACAAATGCCAGCTCTGCCCCTACGCCAGCCGCAACTCCAGCCAGCTCACCGTCCACCTCCGGTCCCACACAGGTAAGTCCTTGACCCAGAAGCCTCTGTGCCTGACTTGCCAGTTTCTTAACCTTTATTTACCTAAAACACAACTTAAACACCTTGCTGGTTAAGTAAAGAAATTTGGAATCTCTGTGGTGATTGTGAAGCTTGTGATTTTTTCATTTGCTAGGACAGTAGTTTTTATCAAAACTTGAAAACCTGACAGCTGGGTTTTCTAACTTGATGGCATAGAATACAGCTGGGGTGAGTACCCAGTACAGCAGTGAAGATGCAAAGATGTACCTTGAATAATCTGAAGTATAAGCTAGATGTTTCAGTTATCTCTCTTAAACTCTGATTGCATAGTTTAATTCAGAAACATGTAGTAAAATCAGTTGAATGGAACTGCAGATCACAGACTTCCAGTTCTAGAAATTAGACTTTGCAAAGAGCTTTTTCTTCCCTTCTTTGTGGGACCCGCATTGAAATAATGATCGATCAGTCGATAGACCCAAATAACCCATTGTGGTACAGAAAAATGGGGGTTGGGAGGCTCATGAGGAGGTTCATAAAATGAGAATTTTCAGTGAATTCATGGAAGATGGCAAGCAGAGAGAAATACGTTGACATCTAAAATTGAGTAAAGAAAACTCTCCCAACAGACAAATGGGAGGCACCATGCAGTCAGGAGCCAGTCTTTCCAATCATGTCTAGCTATCCTGAGAGTTCTGGACTTGTAGACCGCCAAGGCCACAGAGCTCAGAGAAGCTGAAGCCTATTGGCAAAATGGCCCAAACTACCCAGCAGGTAAAATCTATGGCACCTATGTCTAATCCTTAAGCCAATCCACTCTTCCTAAACAAAGTATCAACTATGGATTATGAGACATTTGTGGAAAATGATGGTATAAAAAGCACCAAGTCTAACACATAACTAATCCTGAAGCTAACAGAGTACTTGGGTGATAGACAAGAATTTTACAGTTTCGATTGGTATCTACCCACTGTCAGAAATGTTGCATCCAAGAACAGTTTCGTGAAAAGGTAGTAAAAACAAAGGCGTGAATTAAAACTAGGATTGCTGGCTATAAAGTTAAAAAAAAAAAAAAAAATTCCAGAGATCAAAAAAAAAAAAATTGAGTTGGAAAACAGAAAAAATAAGAAGCTGGAAGTCTGCTTGCTGACTAGGTTTAGGGAGAAAAGAAAATAGAAGTGAGAAAATCAAACAAGAAAAAGAATTTCACAATGCTAAGGGGTCGTGGGAGTGAAGGTGTCACAAGATGCCAGGCAGGGCTAAAGGAGTGGCTGGAGCAGTCTATACCTAGAAAGACTTCTCAGTAATAGTGGCTTCTAGAAGACAGCAGAACAGTGCCTTCAAAGTTGGAAAATCATTTTGAATGTAGAATTTTATACCCAACCAAACTGTCTCAAGTATGAAGGCAGGATAGACAAAAGTGTATGCAAGGACTCAGATTTTTCTCTAAGCCACCCTTCTAGTGGAAGGTACTGGAAGATAAACTCTAGCAAAACAAGGGAGAAAAAATTTGACATGAGGTATTTTATGTGCGAATATCTGAATATAGCTAACTGGGATTGTAATAAAGGGAAATATCAGGGTGATGTTTGTATAAGAGGTTAAGAGAAAAAAATGAACAGATCAGAAATTCAGAAAATCCATTAGAAATTCCATGTAAATGCTTACATAATTAAGAGACTGGACAAATTGAGATCATGGTGCGATTTTTTCCCCTCAAGAAATGCAGTATAGCCAAGAAGCATGTATGATAAAATGTGGCCCAGAATGAGCGTGTAGGAAAAGAGCATCAATTCAACCTTGATGCTGGCAACACTATCCACTGGCCCACATGTGACAGTGACCCTGAAAGGGGGTGGACATAATCCTGGTCGTAATATAAATGATTTCTACTGCAGGGCCTCAAACAACACTTTCATTCAACATCATTTCATTATAACATTGATAGGAACGTAACGCTTGTTTGCATCAACTAGCCTGTGGTAAAATTGGTGTCATTATACGTTGTTCTGCTTAAAGTCAAAGAACCCATTGATGACGTTAAGAGATGACTTAGTGGAGCTTGAATCTAAATTGAAAACAACTAAAGCATGAGAATTCACAGTTCAGAATGCAGATGTTATTGAACTTAAATGTGAAAATAAAGCTATTCCTGAAAGAGGAGGGGATCCTCAAAAAACCTCTTAAGCTTATGGACTAAAAGTCATGAGGTTATCATTCAGTTTGGAAGGTAAAGCTAGAAGAGCCCAAATCACAAGCAACAGTGCATGAGGATGCTGAGGGGGAAAGGGTGCATGTGTAGGATAAGTGAGATTCTCATCTTGGCTTGATGTTTAAAGTAACAACCTCTAAAAGAACTAAAGTGCCTCCAGGGGTGCAAAGGAGGCTATAGCTTTTCAACGTCTGTCCCCTGCTGCCATATTCATGTGTTATTTCTATAAATAAAAATCATTCTTTTAGTTGTAAAACTGAAACTTTCACTAGTAGTGCAAGCCAATAAAATGATGTAATTGAGCTTAAACACTAGAGGAAGCGTGTTTCTGAGTCCTAGCTGGATGTGGATCAGTTTGTAACTTCCTTCTTTCAAGTTCAGTTTTGGAATGCCAGGTTAAAAGAGAGTTTAGAATCGAAACTGGAGTATCTCTTGAAGAGTATGGACTTGGATGCCACGATGTCTGGGTTCAAATCCCTGCTATTTAAATCAATAACTTGACCTCTCTGAGCCTCAGTTATCCCATCTGTAAAATGGAGACAATTACAAATACCATATAGTATTGTTGTGAGCATTAAAAGGGATCCTATGTGTAAAATGTCCAGCATGGTGCCAAGCATATAATGCNCACGAGTTAATACACATGGTAAATGGTGTTATTAGGAGATTACAGGCAGCTGGAGTTAAGAAGACCCAACTGCCTTTGCGGCCAAGTGTTCTGACGCATGTTTGGGGGGAGTTCTGTGTTGACTGCCTGCTCTAATGGAAACACACCTTCCGTTGCTAGGGGACACCCCCTTCCAGTGCTGGCTCTGTAGCGCCAAGTTCAAAATCAGCTCGGACTTGAAAAGGCACATGATCGTGCACTCGGGGGAGAAGCCTTTCAAGTGCGAGTTCTGTGACGTCCGCTGCACCATGAAAGCGAACCTCAAGTCCCACATCCGCATCAAGCACACCTTCAAGTGCCTGCACTGCACCTTTCAGGGCCGGGACCGGGCTGACCTCCTGGAGCACAGCCGGCTGCATCAGGCCGACCACCCCGAGAAGTGTCCCGAGTGCAGCTACTCCTGCTCCAGCCCGGCTGCCCTGCGGGTGCACAGCAGGGTCCACTGCAAGGACCGCCCCTTCAAGTGCGACTTCTGCAGCTTCGACACCAAGCGGCCCAGCAGCCTGGCCAAGCACATTGACAAGGTGCACAGGGACGAGGCCAGAACGGAGAACCGGGCCCCGCAGGGCAAAGAAGGGCCCCGCGACAGCAGCTCTGTGCACGTGGCCAAAATAGTGACTCAGAGGGCCTTCCGTTGCGAGACCTGCGGTGCTGCGTTTGTCAGGGACGACTCTCTGAGATGCCACATGAAGCAGCACAGTGACCAGAGTGAGAACAAGAACTCGGACTTGGTCACCTTCCCGCCTGAAAGCGGTGCCCCGGGACAGCTCGGCCCCCTGGTCTCCGTGGGGCAGCTGGAGACCTCCCTGGAGCCCAGCCAGTGCCTCTGATTCATGCGGAGAGGGCGGTGAGCCGTCTGGAATTCCAGGCAAATGCCGTTGCCCAGCCTCTTGGGTGAGGCCGTCAAGCCAGACTGTAGTCACCAGCTCTGGGCATGGCTGCCCCAACTTCACAGGCCTCCGGAGGCCATGGCTGCGGTCACTGTGGTGCGAGGGCAGGCGCCAGAGCAGCTGTGGAGACGCCTCTCCACGTTGCCGTCTGCCCCCCAAGCATCAACTGGGCAGGTTGACCAGTCGCTCCAAGGTGGGGGTCCCCTGAGCACTGCTCTGTCCAGTAGGATTAGCTTCTTTATGATGGATTCCACTTCTAAGACTGGTCCATTTCCGATGCAATTATTAAGCTACTTAGACCTCATGGACCTAAAACTAACCCGATGTGTGGAGTGCGGACGGTTAAGATGAGGATGGGTGCGCGGAGGCGCTGGGAGGCCGGGAGGCTGTAGCTCTTAACCTGGGTGGTGGTTGGTTATGTTTGCCTCATACGTTGTGTGGTTCCTTTTATCGGTAGTTTTATAATAAAAAGGCAAACTCACCTGCAGCGGGATGTAAGAGGAACGCTCGTTTTTCCTCCATGGACAGGTTATGATGCTGGGGCCCCGCCCCTCCTGGATGCCCACAGATGTCTCGGTCTCAGTGCTGCGTAGGGGGAGGTGCAGCTTGATCTGTAGGTGGCAGCAGAGATCAAGCTAACGCGCTCAGCCTGGCCCGCTGAGAAATTCACGGCTTGTGTACTTGCATCCTAGGGAAAGGACTAGGGGCGCAGTGGGCCCGGGGCTTGGTTCCGGGGCACAGCCTGAGACTAGCGTCTTTCACCACAGTAAACACGGGATGTGTCCTGACCAACAAACAGGTGAAAATCCAAACCTCTGGTAAATGGACGTGTTGCTTGACTTAGGAGGCTGCGGAACACCAGTAGCTGTATAATTGATCCAAAATAGCTTTGTTTGTTTCACTTTGGCATATTTTCTTCAAATACAGTCTCTGTTTAATACAAATTTGTGTGTGCCCCTCATCAAACTAAAAATCTATGCTCTTAAAACGGATTAAATAGATCCATTGGTTTTGGTAAACTAGGAAAGAAGGCGTGAAAACAAATTTTTATAGGTTGTGTACAAGGGAAGATTTCACTGACGAAATAGCAAGAGGTACGTGGCTCCTTTTGTTATGATTTTTGTTATTTGAATAAACCTGATGCCATTTAGATCTGACATCAGGCAGATGCACACTGTTGAATCCCTTCGTTTTAAGAAGAGGTGAAAATGAGACCCCCCCCAGGATAGAATTAATCACTGCTTTGCTTTGGAACTATTCTCAATGGCTCAGAAAAGCGTTTGGCGTCTGAATCGGTGCATGGTGCAGATTCTGTTGTCGCCTCTCTGTGGTCTGCCATGCGTCTTATCTACGGGTCTGTTCTAATAACGGCAGGGCTATTGACCTTTCAAGTGGGAACCCAGAGATCAGAATCATATAAACGTTCCTCGGACTTCCCGTGTTGTATCTCTTCAGATAAACAGGAAAGACACCAGCCTTTTTAGAAAGCTTTTTTTTTTTTTTTTAAAGAGCTGCATGAACCTCAGGGATCTTACTATCCTGGTGTCATCTTGCAAATTTGGATTCTTAGTGGAGCAGAGATCAGTAAACTGTTTTGGACCAGACAGTAAATATGAGGCACTGTGGAGCCATAAGGTCTATTTTGTGACTAAACTCTGTGGGTTTTGCACAAAAGCAGCCATAACCAATAAGAAAAAGAATGAATGACTTTGTGTTCCAATCAAAATTGTGAAATAATTCAGGAAGAGAGAGAATATACTGGCTAACCCTGCTAGGATGAGACTGAAAATATACAAATTATCACCAAATAAGAGGGGGAAACAGCCATAATGGCTGAGGGGCCGCTGATGTGGTACAGACCAGATAAGCACAGTTTCTGGACCCACCTCTGTTTGCAAGGTTGATGTGGGTCAGAAAGGGGAAATTGATTAATGAGTGTTTGCAGTTTGACTTCACTTGGACCAGGGTGAACTTTTTCAGCAAAGGGCCAGATAGTAAATATTTGGGGCTCTGCTCGCCTTAGTCTCTGTCGAAACTGCTCAACTCTGTTCACCTCTGCTGTTGGAGCACATCACTCAACTCTGCCCTAGTTACTACAGCAGCCATAAGTAATAGGTAAGCAAGTGGGTATAGCGGTGTGCCAATAAAGCTTTATTTACAAAAAGCAGGCCGTGATTTGGAGGGCCATGGTTTCTTGACCCCTGAGCGGGACTGTGTGAGTGCAAACAGTAGGGAATTGGGTCATGGGTAAATGCAGGGGAGAGTTACTAAGAAGGCTACATTTCCCAGGATCCCTTGCAGGGAGGTGCGGTTTCATGCAGAAGATAGGGGAGTTTCAGGTGAGCACTGGGGAAAACTGGGTCCTTTTGATCTGATTCAGATCAGCTATAAAACCTGCAGTGCAAAGCCCTGGCCGCTGTGGCTCGGTTGGAGCGTCGGCCCGAGCACCAAAAGGCTTTGCATTCAGTTCCAGGTCTGGGCACACACCTAGGTTTCAGGTTCTGTCCCCGGTCAGGGTGTGTATGGGAGACAACCAGTCGATGTTTCTCTCTGCCTCTCCCTTCCTCCCTGTAAACATATCCTCGGATGAGGATTTTTTTAAAAATCTGCAGTGAAGAGTCCAAAAGTCAAAGGGACATCCTCCCTCTTGCTTTCCTCTGCTTAAGGTGTCTTGCTGCCTTCTAAATACCATAGAACATGGAGTTTTTGCTTGTCCCTGCGTTTAATGTCTTCCTTAAAGAAAACGGATGAGCCTCAGTTCTGTTGCCGGGTGACACGTGTCCTTCCTCTGAGCCAGGCACTATCCTGAAAACTTTGTCTGTGTTCACGCATCTACGGAGCCAAGACTAGGAGGTGAGCGAGGCATTCGCCCAGGGCACCCAAACTCAGTAACCAGGGAATAATACTGTAATATAGTATCTTATTTTTACAGTAATTTTTTTAATTGGCCAACTATGACCAATTAAACCAGCCAGTTTGGTTTTGTAAATAAGTTTTATCAGACGGCCTGCGAGTTAGGGCGGGCCGTGCAAGAGTTGGAGCCTATAATTAAAATTCTGACATTTTTGTTCTCCTTGGATTTTTTTTTTTTTACTTTAAAAAATTGTACTGAAATATCCACCTTGATCAGTGAGATTTTTGACACTGCTTCGTATTTGCCCTAGTCGGTCACTTCTTCACATTTGGAAACCGAAGCCTGGAGATGAAGAAACTTCTGCAAGAGGGCGGGCTTCAGCCCCCAGGCAGCGTAGCTCCGGAATGCGCATTCCCAACTCAAGGGCTGGCTGGGTCTGCAATAAAGAAATATTTTGAGCCCTGGCCAGTGTGGCTCAGTGGATAGAGCATTGGCCCGCACACCGCACACTGCACACCAAAGGGTCTCAGATTTGATTCTGGTCAAGGGCACATACCTGGTTGCAGAATTGATTCCCGGCCCCAGTCGAGGCACGTGTGGGAGGCAACCAATCAGTGTGTCTCTCTCACATGGATGTTCCCCTCCCTCCCTTCCACTGTCTTTAAAAAAAAAATAAACGGAAAAATATCCTCAACTGAAGATTAACAACAACAAAAACAAATCCATGAAGTAAATAACTAAAGACTAACAGGTAAACAAATGGCCAATAAATCAGATTTACTCCATTTAGCATTCCAAGGGAAAAGCTTCAATTTGATAGAATATATTTATCATGTTCATCTTATCCTATCTGAGGACTTAGTTGCATTGCTAGTTCAGCCAATGAAGAGTCATAGCAAAAAGAATGCCCAAAACTTCTTAAATAGTCACATTTCCATGTTTCAGTTGAACAAAGTCAGAAGTTATTAAGCAGCCCAATAAAACAACGAAAACCTGTCATATACTTTCTACTGCTATGATCTGTGACTTGTGTCCTTAAAATGTCAAAGGATATTTAGCAGTTAAACTTAAANTTTCTCTAAAAAAATAAAATAAAAACAGTGGAAAAAACATCCTGGACCAGGATTAACAACACAAAAGGAAATTTTGTTAGAGTAATGAATTGCTCTGAATAGGGAGATGGCAGAACAGTCCAAAGAAGTTTAACTTACAGCACCTGTTGTTAAGGGGTTGAGGAGGAAAGAGGTGAGAAAACCCTGCTTCGGGTAATACTATCTGGCTGACAGCTGGCTCAAGATTTTACATCAGATTCTCGGTTTGCTCATCTGTCAAATGGGCCTGTTTCAGACATTTGGCCTAATGATAAAGTCAATTGGTTTTGGCTTACCTGTGTGTCCTTCCCTCCTTTCTTTTGTTTTGCAAGAGGGTGAGTGGGAAAGAACCAAGAGCTAGTTCTGTGACCTTATGACATCAGGGCCACTGTCTTCCACCCCACCCCCCAGATCTTCAACATGTGGTCCCAGGTGGTGGCAACTAAGCTCCAGACAAGAGAAGGTGGCCATGCCCCCCCCCCCAACACTACTAGAAACTTGCCTATAAACTGCTCACCTTTCCCGGCTTCCTGGCTGGTCACAGGGCTTTGCTACAACAAAGGCTGCTGGGAAATGGTGGCTCTGGAGTTAAAACACTGGGTCCTGAGTGTTCTCTGCCCCTGAGCAGTGATGCAGGCTCATGAAGGTTAGGGTGACTTTTCTATGAAGCCCCTGGTACAGGTCCCGAACAGCCAGGGTGCTCCACACACAAGCATTTCTGTTTTGTAGGGCTTTCCTGGGCCTGCCTCTGTCTTGTCTTCCTGCAAATTGGCCCATGACAATTTTCCAAGGTTTTCTGTCACTCTAGTCCCATGGGTCTCAACTGTGGCTGCAGACTGCAGTCACCTGGGAAGCTCTTAGCTGTTTGCCCCCCCCTCTCTCGGGGGCAGAGGGCCAGGCATTGGTATTTTCTATAGTTTTTTGGGTGCTTTCTGATGCGCAACCAGATGGGAATAGCTGCTCCAGTTGAAGGAGCAGGGCTCTCTTCATGGGCATGTCACCTGTTATGTCACAGATGGCCCTGCACTGGGTGGTATGCTCTGCCGTCGCCATCCTGAAATTCTTAATTTTGGAACAAGGGATCCCCAAATCTATCATTTTGCATTGGGCCCTGTGAATTATGTAGCTGGTCTTGGAAAGGAAAGAAAAGAACATGCCTGAGAAGGAGCCTGTCTGCATCCCTGGGACAGAAAAGGCTCAGCTGTTGAAGTCGGGGCTCCGGGCTGGGGCTGGGCCGCCCGGTCTCGGGCTCGGGATGGGAGGAACCGCACAGCGAAGCGTGAAGCCCAAGCATTTCCTGCGTGAGTCCATTCAGACCTCACAGTGGAAGGCATTTGCTTTCATCCTGACGAGGGAAAACTGACCTTAGGCAAGTGGCCCTCGGTGCAGCCGGGCAGGTAGCCTGAGCCGGGCCTGCGCGGTGTCTGCAGCCTGCCCCCCACTAACCTCTAGGGCGCCTTCTAACTCAGTCCAGAGGGCTGGGGGAATCGGGAACAGGGCCTTTCGAGTTCCAAGTGTTGACACAAAAACAGGACAAGATCTTTTGCAAGAATGATGAGGTCTATAATTGGAGGGGAAAACCGTCAGATATGGGTATTGTTGGATGATTGGGGACATGTCCCTAGCCTGTCCTGCCACATGCTGGGGCAGGTATGCCCAACATCATGTTCCCCCAACACAGGTTACAGAATTGCAGAGTAGCTTTTGCTTCCATAGAGGTCTTCCTGAGACCAGCACGTGGCCTCACAGGAGCAGAAATGGCCCGGGGAGCTGTCACAGCCCCTCTCTGGAGACACTTAGGACGTGCACCTTGGATTGCTTCTGTTTTAATAGAGAAGAAAAAGCAAAGAAGCCTAAGTCAAGCAGCTCGTGAGGGTTAGAACCCGCGTCTGAGGCCAAGTGGAACCTCCTCCCAGTGCCAGCACGCCCGCTTGGAGAGCTGCCTGCAGTCCCGAGTCCATTGCTTCCGAGCCATGGAGCCCTTTGTCAGGCTCATGAA